CAGTTCAAATTGAACAAGCAAACCAAACTCAAAGTGTGAGTGACAATGGTAACATTGAAAATATAGTTGTTCCAATTGCAGAAGACCCAATTTTGGAACAAAAACCAGCAGGAAATTTAAATATTTTAAACCAGGAACGGGTTGAAACCAAAATCTCATTACAGGAAAATGCAGATGAAAATAAAATTTGAGATATGGAAACAGAAATAACTGATCCGATTCATCAAGGTGATCCGTTCAATTTTATTGACATTGGGATTATCATCAAGAACAATTCTTGTCAAGTGAACTCTTTTCTTAAGATAACTTGTTTTGAAACTCCAAATGATATCGTTAAAGACTCTAATCATCATGCATTTCCTTATCGTTTCTTAAACAAATCTCTTGCAAATGGAGAAACATGCAAAAGAGACTCGTTATGCTGGAGTGTTGAAAAACAATCTTTGTATTGTGCACCATGTTTTCTTTTTAACAAAATGCTGCAAATGTGTCATTTTTTTCTAGTTCTGCCGGATGGGGCATCAGTAGAGGTTGGAGAAGATTGAAAAATCGTATTCTGTTGCACGAAAGTTCAATTTACCATAAAGAAAACTATGTTGTATGGAAATCTGCTAGTAGAGCAGCATTATGTGAAACTTCAGTGGATAATTTACTTTTATCAAAACTCAAGACTGAAACTGAAAATTGGAAAAAATTATTTCAACGTATTCTAGATGTTATTATTTTTTTTTCTGAACGTGGATTAGCACTTTTTGGTTCTAACCAACGAATAGGTGATCGAGCGAATGGAAATTTTTTAGGTATTATTGAGCTTCTTAGCAAATATAACCCACTTTTAGCTGAGCATGTTAAACATGTTCGAGAATCACAACAGTGTAAGCAGCGAATGCAAGCTCATTATCTTTCAATGCGAATTCAGAACGAATTTATTGATATTTGTGGTTCACACTTTCAAACAGCAATCCTCCACGAAATTGTGAAAGATTAATATTTTTCAATAATAGTTGATGCTACTCCAGATTGCTCGTACAAGGAGCAAACTACTCTGGTTATTCGTTATGTTAAGGTTTTAGATAATTCAAACTTTTCAGTTGAAGAAAGATTTATTTTATTTTAAAATTTTTCAAAAAAAACTAGAAGAGAAATCGCTGCTCGAACACTAGAAATATTGAAAACTTTGAAGCTGGATTTCGAAGCCTGCATTGGTCAAGCTTACGACAACGGTGCTAATATGGCTGGAAAGTATAACGTGGTGCAAGTAGTTTTGATACAACAAAATCCAAATTGCATGTTTTCTAGCTGCGGAAATCACTCATTAAACTTAGTTGGTGTCGATTGCGCTGAATCATGCAAAGAAGCAGTAACGTATTTTGGAACAATTTAGCAAATGTACAATTTATTCAGTAGCAGTCCTCAAAGGTGGGCAATTTTAAAACAACATCTTCCTGTTTCGTTGCATGGAATGTCCAAAACAAGATGGTCAGCACGAATTAATGGTGTTAAATCAGTTGCACAACATTTGAACTCAGTTAGAAGTGCTTTAAATGAAATTGGGGTGCTACATTTAACGGCCCAGGCTAAAATGGAACTCAATGCTATTCAAAAGTATATTTCCAAATTTGATTGCATTTTGATGTCGTCTATCTGGATGAAGCTACTCACAATGATTCATCAGACAAATCTAATTATCAAAGCACGCCATGCCACTCTTGATATTGAAAAGGATAACATTAAAAATCTATGTAATGACATTCAAAGGTTGCGTGAACAATTTGATAAGATTTTAAATGAGTCAAAATTTGTTGCAAGAAATATTGGTGTTTCATGTGAGTTTTTAACTAATCGTCATTTTCCAAGTCAAGATGATGTTGAGTTGTATTATAAAATTAATGTATATTTTGTCATCATTGACTCAATTAAATCTGGCCTCACGCAACAATTTCAGTCTTTACAAGAAATTTGTAAACTTTTTGGATTTCTCAGTCAGTTTAAAAATTTGAATGACGAAGATCTTGTATTGGCTGCTCAACATTTCCAGCACAAATATGACAAAGAAATATCACAGGAACTTGAAAATGAGGTTTTATTTTTTAAAAGATTCTATGGTGCTAATTTTAAACTAGACTGCACACCAAATAAATTGCTGGAAGAAATACTTGGACTTGGTCTTTCAGGTGTCTTTCCAAACATTACAATTGCATTACGAATTTTTATCAGCTTGCCTGCATCGATAGCTTCGGGCGAACGCACATTTAATGTTTTAAAGCAGATAAAAAATTATCATCGTTCAACTTTGGGACAGGAACGGTTAAATGGACTTGCTATGTTGAATATAAATTGCGATATTGCATGAAAACTAGATTTTTCAAATATAATTGCTGCATTTTCAGAACAAAAAGCAAGAAAAGCGTTTGTAAAAATTAATTAAAACTAATTCATTCTGTTTTACTTTGAGTGAATTTCTTTAGATTTCATTTTCAAAAGGCGCCACATTTGTGTGTGACGGTCTGTCTAATTTATTGCATTTAGTCTTAAAGTTAGACATTTATCGGGTCCTGATCAACCTGAAGACTTAAATGGCTTTGCATTATCTTGCGTCGTGTTTTGCGCAAATTTTTCTTTTGGGGCCTCCGATTTTTAACTGGCCGGGGCCTCTCCAAACCTCTGAAAGGCCCTGCAGATTATATTATATTGATATAAATGAAATCATTTTTTTTTTAATGATACTGGTGGATATTTTTTTTGTTCGATCAGCACTATAAAGGCTTCATTAATTTGATATCAAAAATGATATGTTTATCTATTTCTTTTTTATTTGTTTAAGTTTACATAAAGAAACTATATATTTTTTTAAATTTTAACAAAATATAATTTGATCGCGTAACTAAGATCATTTTTTTAAAGTTTTTGGATATTTCAGAATATCCAAAAACTTTAAAAAGTCTTTTAAAGTTTTTGGATATTCTGAAAGTCAATTCTAAAACAAAAAAAACAAGATCTTGTTTTTAAAATTCTGACAAGTAGTTTTTATTTTATATTCTTTTAATTGATCGTGATTCTTTTTTTTACTTTTATTTTTGCTTGCTTTTTAAAGAAGTTTTTTGTTTACACTACGGTGAGCAACTCGTTAAAATATTATTTTTTATAATATTTTAATGAGTTTTTAAAAATAGATAGATTATATTTAAAATTTGATGGAACTTAACTAGATTTTCTGTATTAAAGTATTTAAAGTGAAATGAAAATGTTTATTTAACAATCATCTTGGAATGTTCATGTTGAAATATTAAAATAACTGACAGTAATTTTTTGTTTTGTTTTTATATTTGTTCAGATATATTTTTCATTGATTTAGTTTGTTTTCTATTTTTTGTACTCATAAAACACCCGGGAGAGGAGGGAAAGATAAGAAGTTTATTAATTTTCGAAAAGTATTCCCGTCTATCCCAAGATTATTAACACCCCCTGTTTATCAATTTTAGGCCTTAAAAATCGGCGAACTTTAAAAAATTTCGTAAATCGATTTGTCGGAAATAAGCTGAATATTGAATTATTTTTCTTAAATTAAAAAAAAAAAACTCCTAAGAGACGCTTTCTGATTACTTATTACTTTCTGTTTTTAATTATTACATTGTTAATTATGTAATTTCAATATATTAATCTTATTTTATATAGTTTTTAAGGTTGTTTGTTTTTGTTAATAGACGTCTTCACAGTTCCGATAATTTCTTGCGCGCGCATATTTAATATTACGTCATGGTACTTTATGCGCAAATTCGCATGAAAACAAGTAAATACTCATATAAATTAAGATAGTAACCTTGAAAAAACAGTTGTTTACATGAGATTTTTTTAATTTTTCTTCTTGAAAAAGACATCGATTTAGTTTAATATAAGTTTATTTTACTCATTTTAAGTTTAAAATCTATACTGTCTATATGCTTTTGTTGTATAATATTTGTAATCAAGGAAAAAACAAATTTGTACGTTGAGTGTAAAAGTATTTAAAAACATTAATTAATAAAAAGAGCTTTCGGGACAGAAGATTATTAAATAGTAACTTATATGTATATATATATATATATATATATATATATATATATATATATATATATATATATATATATATATATATATATATATATATATATATATATATATATATATATATATATATATATATATATATATATATATATATATATATATATACATATATACACTCACACACATATATGTATATACACACTTATATATATGTATATATATTATATTTATATATACATTTCACACTCGAAATGTGTGAAATGCAAAAGATAAAGTGTATTCTTTAAGAGCTTTTATTTCTTTCATATATATCCTATAAAACAAACATATAAAAAGTATAAATATATAAATAATATAAACTTAGCTTTAAATTAGTTAAAATAAAGTTAGATAGTTCAAAATCGATACTTTTATTATGAATAAAAGTAAATAAATCTCATGTAAACAACTGACATAATACATTTGTGTATTTACTTTTTTTCATGCGATTCTGCGCACAAGGAACAATGACGTATTGTTAAATGTTCGCGCGCACTAAATTATCGGAACTGTGAGGAGGTCTATTCTAACTTTATTAAAATTTATTATTTGCAAACAAACAATTTCAGAAATTATTGATTATAAAACATGAATAACATAAAAAAAAAGGTCTCATGCGGCAAAACAATTTAACAAATAAAAATCAGAAGTTAAATTCTCTCAACATTTTAAAATGGAGATAAAACCCTATTATTCTAACGTCACGTTATGTAAATATAGAAAATACTTTTAAAATTAAGCTGAATACGATGAATACGATGAATTAATTTAAAATCTAATATCAAGTCTAGATATCTCTATTTTTTTTATTAATAAATTGACATTTAAACTCTAGTCACTGCCTGATGAAAATGTTTTAATATAACTTAAAAGAATATTTGCTCTAAATTATATTTTTCGTTTTTTACTTAAAGGTAAATCAGTGTTCTTCACATCAAGCTTTTGAAATTCATCTTTTCGACCCTTGGTATTTGAACCAAAAACACGAATCAAATTATCTCCTGCAACATTTTAGACAAGCGCATTGGGATTAACTTCAATTAACAAAGGATTGTCATTACAACCAAATCGCACTCGTTGCTTATCAAAGTATTCCTCTAACGGATCTTGACAGAACTTTTTGGACAGAATTTATTCGACTCCTTCTACAAGCAAAAACTTTCCAACTCAAGTAATTAATCGAAATATATTAACACGGAATATGACCCCCGTTGTTTTTAATACATGTTTGTATTCGCCTTGGCTTTTTTCTAAGTAATCTTTTAGTTACTTGGGTTTTGAATAGTATGTATGGAAGATATTTTAATATTCATATAACTGAAATATAATAAATATAAAATTATTTTGTCTATAATATTTTCTACATACGTAGAAAGCATCTAACTATTTATATTTAACTAGCAAAAGGCAACCCGTAATACGGGTTTTGGTCGGTCTGTTACTTAATTAATTTATAGTAGCTGTTTTCCACAATTTAATCTTGCAAAACCTTAACTAATACCTTTTTAGAAAATTGCCTTCAGCTTGAAAAAATTAATCCATCTGTAAAATTAACATAAAAATTATGAGGAGGTAAAATAATTTACCAAATACTACTTAACATTATTATGTAATTTACAAATGGCACAGGTCATAACAGTGTAAGGCAGAACCATTTTCATCGACCTTCCTAAGTTTAACACAATACGTTTTTAGTTACTGACGCAAAATAATAACACTTGGTTATACTTTAAATTGACGAAAGTGTCAACTAAATCCTTAAAATAATTTTTATAACACGAACCATTAAGATTAAAATGAAGTTAATATTATACAGGAGTTATCAATTTTTTGTTATCCCCTTGATTAATTGTTCTTTAGAAAAGAAAATTGGTAACTTAAAAATGTTAAATGCACACGTTTAAATAAATTTATAAAAAATAACAAAGTTTATTATACTACGCAACTGAGTACAAATACCTTTCAAACAAAAGAAAATTTAATTTACGATCAAACATAGGTATAACTAATTTTTTAATACATTAATGCATCATAGAACAAACTAAAATAAAAATTATAAGAGATAAGTAGACAAAAATTTGTAAACCAAGCTGACCCGACCCGGGTCTTGTTAAGTCTGTTCAACACAGACCATTTGTATATCATTTATTTGGCCTCTTTATTTTATTAAATTTTTAGTAAACGGTAATTTGCCACCATTTACTAAAAATTCCTTTTGTAACTCGAAATTTAATTTTTCTAAATATTTTGGCTCTAATAAAGAGGTTCCTTCCCTCTTTTTGCTTTAATGGTGGCCTAGTGAATAAAATAAAATATTAAAATGTAAAACAATGATCTACTTATATAAAAATGTTTTCTTTCTTTCCTCAAAAGTGTTGCTAATACAGACTAAGCTAACTAATTAGTTAAACACATAAATAAAACTTAAGTAACTCGATATTAATGCGCAAAACTACAATATTCTCCGTATTTTTAAAGGTTTTTAGTTACGACCGCCCATTCAACCCATACGACCCCCCAATCAATTCTCTCTCTACAATTCTCAATACTAATTCTTATTTAAGTCTCATCTAAGAGAGAGGAAGTGTTTTAAAAACACCATGTTAGAAAAAGTAAAAAAGTCATGCAATAAATAACAGTAACTGGTTTTATTATGCTACCAATAAACAAAATTATTTTTACCTTAACTAAAAGTTAATTTCCAGCATTTCTTAATTTATTTCCAGCTTCTCTCTAACTGTTGACAAATGATTAATATTGTAAATTTCACATCATATTAAATTTACAAAATTAAAACCATGTTTTAACAGTAAGCAAAATAATCAAGTGATGACAAAGACAACTAAAAAAAAAATGAACAATTATATTAAGATAACAAAAGTAAAAAAAAAAAAAAAAAAATCATTTAAAACTGAAATTTTTATTATTTGTTACTATAAATAGTAAAATTCATACTTTGCTTTATTTTAAAGTGTCTAATGAAAAGTCAAATAATAGACATCAACAGCGCTTGACACTGAATTCTGCCAAGTAAGTTTTTGGTTCATCAAGCAAAATTTCTTATATTTCAACGACAATTAATTTTATCATGCCTAGATCTATTTCTTTCATATGACAACAATTTCAAGTCACCTATAACCATTTACACTAATAACTTCTTCGAGCCTAATATTATAAATCTGTTATCATTAAATATATATTACCAGTGGTTATGCTACTGTTACAACTGAATAAATGAGCGTTTTATATTTTTACAACTGAAAAATATAAAACAAAATTTATTTACATTATTTTAATTTAGCAAAGAATTTAGAACACAGTGCAAAGTTATTTGCATTGTGTTCTAAATTCTTTGCTAAATTAAGAAAGCCTTCAGGCACAATCTTAATGCACAAAAATAATAAATGCAGAATCTTGTATAAAAAATAAAGCAATGTCAGTCTAAAGTAATATATATGTATGTATATATATTTAAATTTTTTCTATTCTTAATTTTTTCTTTGAGATAATATTCATATAGATTCAGAGAAATATAAAATATTCCGATATATAGGCACATTTAAGTATATAAACTTACCTGTCAAAAATTACAGTCAGTTTTTCATGTTAAATACATAAAATATATATCTAATATAAAATTAAACAAAAAATTAAACTTACTCAAATCAGTAACAGTTCGACTGTCTATATATTTTTATTATTAACCCTTCTATTTAAAAAATAAAAACAAATGATTTGAAGTAACTAAAAAGCACTTTAGCTCTTTCCAATTGCACTAAAAAATAAAATAAATCTTGCTTGCTAAGTTGCCTAATTCTTAAGAATCTGATAACAAATAAGTAAAAAACCAAGAACAAACAAACATTTATTTACTAAAACTACTCTATTTAAACAAATTAAAGTATACAGAGAACAACATTGATACTCCTTGAAAGCTGAAAATTTATCTCAAATTTGCTTGTAGACCTTGCTTATGAAACCACTTGAATAAGAAAAGCATCAAAAAAGCCTAGAAGCTGGTATATGCTACATTGAATTTTAAATGTTGATTGGTGTAGATATTTTTAAAAAATTCAAAATGATTTGTTCTTCTATAGCAAATAAATACACCATAAATCTGAAGTTAAAAATGTAATGAATAAGTAAATACAAAGAAAAACATCATATGTGAATTAAAAATCAATGTACCCGATAGAGATAAGCTGCGGTGATACCTGAGTAGTATCACCGCATACACGTATTTATCAAAAAAATTTTTACTTTGATCATAATATAAATGCAAACATATATGCAAACTTTTAGCAACTATAAAAGAACATTTATTAGCATCAATTATTTTTAATGTAACAAAGAATGCAGACTACAATGCACGACATTGTTAATAAAAATGAAGTTATGTCAGTCAGTATATATTTATCTAAAGTAGTGAAAAAGAACAAACCATTTAAAAACAAAATTAAAAATTTTTAATGAATATATATTTAGATACCTTAAAATGAAGCATAACACAACACTCTTTTGACAAATTCCAGAGCAAATTTTTAAAAATTTTCTATTCCTTATTATTTTATTCCTTATATCGATAAAATACATATTAAATGCCACATTCAACTAATGTATTAATACCTTATTTAGATCTCTCTTGATTAACTAAAGAATTTAAATTTTAAATAAACTCTAACTAAATTTTAACAAACAAACAACCAAAATAAATCTTCATATTAATAGTAGGTTATTAAGTTGAGTAATAGATCAAACAATTTAATCTACTCTAATAATCTACTACCTTATTAATAAACTTTAATTTTTTTTCTAAGACTCAGTGTAACTATAATATAGATATTTTTAAAGTAAAAAAGAATTTAATATTATAATATATATGATTTAAAAAACCTGAAATTTTAAATCTACCTCGAAGAAAACAGATATATAATAAAAAGTATTTTTATTTCTTTTTAAAAATTTTAAAATGCTTTATAACTTACTTGTTTCATATTATTACCAACGTCTAAATAGAAAAACAAAGATATATGAGTTATATATAGGATTTTAAAATATATATGATTTTAAAAAACTGAAACTTTAAATCTACCTCAAAGAAAACAGAGATATATTGAAAAGTATTTTTATTTCTTTTTAAAAATTTAAAAATGCTTTTTAACTTACTTGCTTCAATATTGTCATCATCTAAATAGAAAAACAAACAAACATTTAAGTCGACTTATTCTTAAATCTAGTTTAATTTCTTCAATAATAAAAAAAATTTAATCTTTTAGGATTAAATTCATTTACAAAAATCCGTTTAAACCATTTTAACATTGTTAAGTTAATTTAAAGTTTTAAAAAACTGAAACTTTAATTCTACCTCAAAGAAAACAGATATATATTGAAAAGTATTTTTATTTCTTTTTAAAAATTTAAAAAGACTTCTAAACTTACTCCCTTCAATATAATTATATAATATATATAGTATATATGATAAATAAACCTCCACAATTTCCTTGGTTTAACAACTCGATTATGATTTATAACAACTCTGTAAACATAAATTTTCTAATAACCTAAATAAATTACAAATAGACAAACATAAACTAACACAATTAAATCCTAAACCAAAATTCATTCATGCAAGACAAATAATTTTATATTTATTGAAGAGCCAGAAACTTATTTTTTTTCAAAGAGCTAAAGTATTAACAATATTAAAGACAAATTTTATTTATAACAAAATTTTCAATAAAAATTAAATTAAGATAAATTTATAACAAAATGTTGTCATGGCTTTTATCCCAATAACCAAAACTAAGTGAAAGCATGAAACTACCCATAAATATATTTTAACGCTAGACACAAATTAAGAATTAAAGTAATCTATAACACGAAGCTTTAAATTTAAAATTACAATTTAAAAAAGATTACAATAAATTAATTACTTTTAAATTAAAAAAAAAATTTAGATTACCTATAATTTTAAGCTACTAAACATTATCTACTTAATGTCAACTTAGATATTTTGAACTCGTACCATGAAAGGTTGAAGGGAAATCTGTAAGTAAGCACGCGGTAAAGAAAAGTTTAGAAACTACTTAAAAAGTGTATTTTACAGACACAGAACCGTACCGTAACTATAAAACAATACGCGTAACTATGCGCACTATTAATATTCATAGGCTATTCATTATAGGCGATGGACTAACGTGATACA